AACTGATCTGCCTCGCCCGGGAAGAGCACAATGATGGTGCCAACTTGGGCCAGTGAAGCAACGTCCTCCACAACTAGACTGAAGAACAAAACGACAACAACTTGTCTGTTCCCCTTCCCCCAATTCCCATCCCCCCAATTCCCCAATAAAAATCTTAGAAAAAAATAAACAAACAAACAAAAAACACAGCCCTTTAACCAAATTTATTGCCCTTCTAAGAAGGCCTGTGGTTTATGAGCGTGGGAGATACAGAACCTTAGAGTTTGCTTGAAATAGGGCCTTTTCCCCCCTTCTGTTTCATAATGTTATTGCTGCATATAGATCTATATTTTCTGATCACTGCTTAATTTATTTTTAATTTTCTTTTGCTTTTACAGGCCCAGGCTGCAAGCACAAAGGAAGTTTGCTCAATCTCAGCCGAATAGCCCCAGCACAACTCCAGTAAAGATAGTGGAGCCATTGCTACCCCCTCCAGCTACTCAAATTTCTGACCTCTCTAAAAGGAAGCCTAAGACAGAAGATTTTCTTACCTTTCTCTGCCTTCGAGGTAAGATGGTGTTACCAGTCAGTTTGGAAGGAACAGCCTAGTTGGTAAAAAAAGAAATAGCACTACATGCAGGAATAGCTGTTAGCATTGGTCTCTGCTGCGTGTTTCTTTCAATTCCCCAGCCTGCTTTGAGGTAGAGTTTAAAGGGAGAAATCCCACTGAGCGTGTGCTTGAGTCTTGATGAGTCTCCTTTTCTGTTCATTGGACTCTTAATTTCTAAGTATACTTAACAGTGAAAATACTGGTTGACATGTGCAAACAGGACCAATTAACAAAGTGCAAGGTGAGGATACAATTTGGTAATAGAGGATGGGTTTGGATTTACACGGCCTTATGTGGGAAAGTGATTACAACAGGGACTAAGTTTTCTAACAGTTATGAGGGAAGAACACAAAAGATTGGCAGAGATTGAGGAGCCTTTTATGGGAATGATAGAGAGGAGCATTAGGAAGCCATGAACTGGGAGCGTTCCTTGGGTGAGGTTGGTTGAGATATAGTGAATAGAAGGGAGAGGGTCTTTGCTGTTGGTCATTGGCTTCAGGTTCAGGGTTATGCACCTTTTTTTTTTTAAACATTTTGAAAGAAGTTACAGCAAGATTTAGGTACAGTGCAAAGAACTTTTTCCTAAACTACTTGGGAGAAAATTCCCACCTGCTGCCCCATTGCTCCTTAACACATCAGTGTCCATCTTCTTAAAATAAGGACAGTCTCCTATAACCATCAGAATTAGGACCTTCACAATGATACATTACCACCATCTAATCCTCCAACCCCCGTTTCAGATGGCTTCAAATGCCTTCGTGATGTCTTGAGTTTCAAGCACAAGGATCTAGTTCAGAATCGGGCATTTTCTTTAATTGTTGTGTTTAGTCTGCTAACTCTGGAACACTTCCTGTCTTTGTCTTTCGTGACCTTGTCCTCAGAAAGATTACAGGTCAGTTATTTTGTAGAATGGCCCCCAATTTGGGTTGTCTGGTGTTTCCTCATTGTTAGATTCAGGTTTTGCATTTGGGACGGGAATATCACAAAGTGGTTCTTCAGTCTTCTCACTGCCTCCTGTTGGGTGGTACAGAATTTCAGTCTTTGCTTTTATTGTTGGTGTTCACATTGATCACTCGATTAGGGTTGGTCTGTCAGCCTTCTCCATGGTAAAGTTATCCTTTTCAGCCTTTGTAATTTATAAGTATTTTTTGGGAGGTTCTTTTAAACTCCATATTTCATTTCTCATCAAACTCAGTGTATTCATGTTTTTGTATCTGTGTGGACTCATTTCCTAATTTATTCAAAGGGTTATAATCTATGATTATCATTTGTTTTGATGTTGAGGTTGTCCTAGAGACCATCAGTGGCTCCTTCAAGCTGACCCCTTTGCCCTTTTGACATGTCCCTGTCATCCTTCCAGCCTTGCTTCCTGGCACAACAAAATGTTCCAGGCTGACCTTGTATGTTCCCTTGCGCAGCCCTGGAATCTGCCTGCCATCTCCCTAAGGAGCATTGTTTTTTAAGTGACAGCTGCTCTTTAGGAGCCATGGTCGGGGCCTTTGTGTACTCATAGCTATCGGAGTAGCATTTCCCCTAGGCACCCTTAGAACACATGTAGTGTGTGCATGTGTGCCTGTGCATGCATGTGCACACGTGCTCACTTAGTATATCTAGATGTATATCTGTGTCACTGTATTCTAACCCATGGATGAGCACCAATACTTCCAATTTCAGTTTAATTAGCCGAAAGGTTCATTCTGCTTTTCTTCCTTTCCACATTGAAGACTGCCTGAGAAGCCAGGCTCCTGTTCCATAAAGTATTAGTTTACTTGATCAGTCTTTTCCTGTGTAACCCACCTTCCATCTCTGCTGCTACCACACCCCCCTCTACCCCTCACGGAGCCCTTCTAATCTCACTGGGCTCTGACACTCCTTAGGGCGCTGTCCTGTGTGTGGACGACCCCCTCATCTTCCTCTGGCCCTGACACCTCACCTGGGCCACCCATGGTTGCTCCTCCCTTCCTCATTCCCTGGTTGCTCTCTCTCACTGATTTGCTTTAGGTCTGAATTGTTAGGGAAGAGAAAGTAAAGAGCTAAGATTTATGTTTGATATTATGGACTATTGATAGTCCTAAGAGGCTCTCAAGACACGAAGGAAAATACCTGTATTTCAGTGAGAAATTATCTAGTAACTGGGGAATCACTTGGCCTTGACTAAAGGGAGATGAGGTAGGTGGGCCTCCTACCAGTTCACCTCCATCAGGTTTTCCATAATTTCTTGTTGCAAGATTCTCGGTGTTGAGGGTGAAGATAGAAAGGAATGTATAAGAACCCCATATACTGGATTGGCTGTAAAGGGTGAAGGGAGGAGAAAAAGTAAGAATGACCAGAAGGGATTGGCCGAGTGGTGCGTTGGTTAAGAGTTGGCTTGGGGGCCGGCTGAGTGGCGTGATGGTTAAGAACTGGCTTGGGACGCCAGAGGGCCCCGGTTCAGATCCCACATATGAGGGCCAGTGACNATCCCATTCTCCAGTGTCCCCTTTGAAGGTCACTGCCCCGGGCTTAGTGGCTTCCTCAGCACACACTTCTGTCTTGTCTAATAGAGAGGCAGTCAATTGGTGGCAAAAAAGCTCTTTGTTCCCATAACATGGGGAACAGTCACATTGCCTTTTTTCCTGACCATTTATAACGTTTGGCACCAAACCGGTTTCGCTTTCTGCCGATACCTTGTTAATGTGGCTATTTCACGTAGGTTATTCCTGGGTGCTGAATGGTTTTCATTAGCTGAAGTTTGCCCAGTAAGCACGCAGTGGTCGTGCTGCCTTGCTCCTCTCTTTTGATCAAATGTCAGTGTGTTTCGGGAATATGGTCTCTGCAGTAGTGCTTTTGGTAGATGGTAGGGGAGGCACGAGTCAAGACTGGTCAGGACTCAAGGGAGGTTAAATTTAAAGTTGTTGATTTTTACAAAGGAGAAAACCATGGTATGTGTGTTTTGCTGTAGCGTTTTGTTAAATACCAGAAAGTTAATTTAAAATGTTATGTATTTTTTATTGTCAGCAGTTTAACATACTATTTTAAATAATCCGTATAATATTTAAGGGAAGACTTGTTCATGCTTTACAGATATATTGGATTTCTTCTTCTTTTTTCTTATGTAATACTCACAGCAACCTTGAACTGGGCTGGTGTTTGGCTTTATCAGTCCCACGTGATTGATTCTCTTTTAGGCTTCAGACCAGATCTAGATTAAGCCCCGTGCTGTACGGCTGCTTCTTGGTTCTTTTTTGTCCCTGGTTCCCGTCCCCGACCTCAAATACTGTTTCTTGAGCATCTGGATGAGCGAGGCCGGATAGAGAGTTTAAAGCAGCACACACACACAGGTTTTCACCCTCAGACGTGCCTACTTCCGTCATGGATTGAGATTCTTATAATTAAAGGAAGAGTTAATATGAGACAATTCATGATAAATGTCAGGTTAGCTATTCATAAAGGAAAGATATGTTAGGATGCTAATAGGTAAAGGGAATGAACTATCAGCTACAGTGTTAGCTGTAAAGAAACCTTTCCCAAGATTCATTAGTATTCAAATTAATTGAAAGGCAGGTCTTACAGATTTTGTGGTTTTTAGGGGGTAAGTAGGGGTCAATATCCAGCCAGGTAGGACTGTTATGGGAAAGTGGCCTGAAAGGTAGATGAAGGCCAGTTTTTCGAATTCCTGACTAAGGGGCTTGGGTTGTCCCTACAGGCAGAGGGGTTAATCCATGATTTGGCGAGGACGCGGGGGTTTTGGATGGACCAGAGAAGTATATATTTTCCCTGCATTACAAGCTTTGATTAGTGTGGTGAACTTACGTGACTCAGTTGGAGTCAGAAGTGATTAGAGGTGGGGTACGTCACTGGGTCCGTGATGGACAGACCGGCAAAGGCGGACTGGTGTAAGGACAGTGTGAAGGGCGTCACAGGAGACATTTATCCTAAATGGTCTCATTTGTGACAGTATCGTGTTGACGGATTTAATAAATGTGGCAGGATGATTTGCATTTCCTCATCGCCATGGACTGCTTCAAAATAAAGCGTAAGGCAGTAATCCCACGCCATCCAACACTGCACGCAGTTTTTGAAATACCCAGGCAGGCACACAGTGGTCTGTATGCTGGAACGTGCTGGTACACACACATACGCACACATTTTATATCAGTGTATAAAACACAGCCCTTTAGGGCCGGCCAAGTGGCGTGATGGTTAAGA